GACTCGTCTCATTGCAAGCTTTCAAATGATATATATTTAAGCAAGATTTGCCGACATAAGTATTTTTATTATGACGTCATAACAAATTTTGCATGACGTCATCAAATATTTTATTGTCATAAAATGATACGTTAGCATAATTTTGTTTTAATATGACGCTTGCTGTCAGCAAAAGCTTTTCTTCCATATGTTTTTCAATCAAAATAATTAGTATTTAGTTGATTTAAATTGAATTTGTGCCAACCGCAATAGCCAAAGTTTAAATAAAGAAGTCGTTACTATCTGACGAGTGAGTCACTTCTTTCTCCGAAGATGCAAAGTCTTGCTCCATATTTGAACCGGGCAATGATTTCTCTGCATCCGCATTTGAATGTTACACTAAATCGGAAGAATGTCTTGGCAATATAGGCTATCCAAGATGTCCTACCGATGTGCTGAAGGTGCATGACTTTTTTCAATAAGGCTATCTTCTGCTGCGAAATAAGGCCATCTCATAAATAAAATACTCCATCTGCCATTTTTCTGATGGTGGATTTATATATGGATCTGGCTCCTTACACATGAAATTAAGAAGAACAGCTTTATCTCCTTGTCACAGTACACCTTCAGGAGTTGCAAGACTAGAGTTATGGTTTTGATGGGATATGAAAATGCCTTTTCGATAGAGGCAGCCTTGCCAATCACGAAAGCTTGGTGGTCTTCGTTCATTATTGAGACTGCTTTTGCTGTTTTCTTGGATCTTTGTGCCCCAGAATGCAGCTTAAGTTTCTGACTATACTTTCGTTTCTAGCAACAACCTACCATTCGAGCAAAATAGCTCATTTCTTTGAAATATTTCTTCCATGTTAGCGCTAGTGTCATCAGTCCGTGAGAACATTTTGTAAAAACGCCACCCGAAAACGCCAGATGGAGATTTGATGAGACGGCCTGAGTTCGTAGCATCAAACCCAAGGAAACATTCAGTGTTTGGTTCAAGAACATTCATGGATGAGCTAATCCTCCTTATGAGGCTAAAGCAATGAAAGTGGAAACAAAGTCAACGCTAAATATTTAGAAACAGCACACGAGCAAGCTAACGGCAAAAGAGAGTCAACAAGGCAAGTGCATATAAAAAGTGGAGAGCAAAAGATACTCCAAAGTAAGAAGAGTATTTTTACATTGATGAAAAAAAGAGAATCTTATGAGACTTGCTCCCGAATTCTTTCGAAGTGCTGAGGGTCACAGGCCCCTGACAATTCAATTTATCGTAGCATAGGAGGTGAAGCATCGGAGACTTCAAAAAGCAAGTAGAAGTCCCTCCAAGATGTAACCACAAAAAGGCGGAAACCAGAATATTTTGCATGGTAACTCGAAAGATGCAAAAGTAGTTGCTGTTGCAAAAGATACTGATTTGTGCTGCTTGTTCATGCAACACAGAAGTGCAAACCCACAAATTAGTGGTTTATGTGCATAAATAACAAACAAATCGTCAAGATTTGAGGCATCGCTGAAACTTTTGGTTCCAAAATTTGCTGTATTTTATCACAGATTAATGGAATTGTGGGCTGAGACAACTGCATATAAGCACAACATTAATAAGGTTACTGTGAAAAAAGCTAACGAGGAACCAGAAACAAGTCATCATTAAAAGTCTCTCCAAAGGAGTTATCGCAAAAGCAAAGACATTCGCGAAACAGCAGAATATAGTGGAACAACATATAAAAGCTATTTAGGGACAAAGATATTTATCAAATCTGAAAAAAATCATCTGCCCCAATTCCAGCAGATCCATAATCACTCAATCAGAAAAGAATTAAATTGTATCAACTTAACAAGGTTATTTTGGCTACACTGTTTAGGTGCAACTACTGCAAGACATGTCCCAAAAGCCTGCTGTTGAAATTTGGACGACATACTCGACCGTCTAAATGGTTCACAGGAAAGCAACTTCCTCATCTCCGAGAGCTTCCTTTACATCACAAGAATATGAAGGTGACGCAGGAGATGAATTTACCCATTAAGAAAATCATACACTTTCATACCCAGCGCTAAAGACCTATAGTACGAAGACATCTTGGACAACCTATAATAGTGCGAAGATATTTTCCGACTTAGCAACAGTCAAATGCAGATGCAGAGAAATAATTGTCCGGTTCAGAGTGGGAGCAAGACTTTGCGACTTCGGAGTAAGAAGTGATTCACTCGTCAGATAGTGACTACTACCTGTTTCGAACTTTGGCTATTGCGGTGAGCACAAATTCAATTTAAATGAACTAAATACTAACATTTTAATCGAAAAACATATGGAAGAAAAGCTTTTGCTGACAGCCAGCGTCATATTAAAACAAAATTATGCTAACGTATCATTTTATGACAATAAAATATTTGATGACGTCATGCAAAATTTGTTATGACGTCATAATGAAAATACTTATGTCGGCAAATCTTGCTTAAATATATATCATTTGAAAGCTTGCAATGAGACGAGTCAATATATGTAAGTTGCGTTAAAAAATAACCCTTTAGTGAGGAGCTAGCGATGATTTTGTCTGACTTTTTACCGTTAAATGACGTCATCAGTCACGTGACATCCAGGCATTTTCAAAAAAGTCACCTGGCAGATTATGAAAGCCTGAACTTTCTACTACCAGAATCCGTTGAGAAAGTAAACATTAGCTTGAATGTCAGATTGTCAGGCTATATGTCCTGTCTATTCTAGTCACTTCTGAAAATCGCCTTCTCATACCGGAGCTCCAAACTATCCAACTTAACTGTCCGTACTACCTATTACATTTTCTGCCGCAAAAAAATTCTGCCTTCAATTCTAACGGTCTCTGCTCCTGACAACTTCTGAAAACAAACACACTTTTTCCTTTATTTTTCTCAATTTTTGTTTGTTTGTGCTTGTAATAGTCTTTTTCTTTGTAAACCCTGGCTAGAGAATTAGTAATTAACAAAATTTCCAAACATTTTGTTCATGAATAGATTTACTTAGTGTAACACAAGTTTCTAGTTAAAATGTTTATACCAGACAAGTCTATTAGGCAAATCCTATGTGAAAAGATGTTTTGTTTAGAAAGCCTTACTTTTATTGAAGTCCAAAATATAAGAGAATTTAGCGACAATTCTGCTATTTATTCGTTATTCTGTAACACTCTTACCTATCAAGTTCTTTACACTTAAAGAATGTCGGGGGAAAATTAATTTAGTAAAATGCATTATGATCATTCAAACCAATTTCTCTTGATGAAACTCAAAGGCGTAGAAACAACGGATTGTTTGTTCTGGTTAGACGAATTTGTGTGCCAAGATAGTTGAAATCATGCAGAAATTCCCATTGGCTTAAGAATTACCCCCACTAAAACAATTGAATAAACAGGATTCAAACCATTAACATGAATTCGAATTTCACATCGGTTTGTAACAGAAAAAAATGATTAAATTCGAGAATGCACTGTTATCTGTGATGAACAAAATAAGTTGAAAGGTCAAAGGCCAAAAGAGCATTTTGTTAAGGTTAAAGGTAAATGCTATGAAATTTTACGGGCACAATTGTGCTCTTAAAAACGAACTCTAAATAAAGTCTTAATTTGATACAGAACAGTTTAAGTACATTAGAGAGATATATAGAGTCTTTAAAAAATGTATCAAAATAGAAAAAATAAAAGATTTGCAACTCGTTTGTGCAAGAGGGAGACAAGCCTCCCCCCCCCCCCCAAGCTCTTCAGCATTTCTCCGGTTTCTTTTTATGACGGCATAGCACTACGATTTCACATCCAATTGTAACCAATTATAGTATGAGAAAAGATAATTTAAATTGCTAAATTCTTCTTGATTTCAAAACCCTAAATTTACCAAATTTACCGAGTAATATTCGCGACCAGACTGTTTTCCGAGTTATTTTATTTTTTTATTTTTTTTTATTTTTCAGATTACTAAATAGAAAGAGAAATATAGAGAGAGAGAGAGAGAGAGAGAGAGAGAGAGAGAGAGAGAGAGAGAGAGAGAGAGAGAGAGAGAGAGAGAGAGAGAGAGA